AAAAAAAAAAAAAAAAAAAAAGCGTCTGGCGTCTGGGTTCGGTGGGATGGTCTGCGATTCTCATTATTCTAACTAACTGTGCGTGCGACTATTGTGTGTTGGGATACTCGTTACAGGGTTGAAAAAAAAAAATTAGTAACTTGTGGACATTTGAATTTTCGCGGGTCACGGTTGTGGAGTTAAATTCAAAGGGATACGCGTAGGAACGGGCCTATATGGAGATTTTGTAATGATAGATTCGAGAAATGGCAAAATTGGTTGATTTTGAATTAGTTTTTTAATTATATTTACACGACCGGATATACGTGTTACAAATGATATATCGACGTGTATCGAGATGGTGTCTGTGACGTGTATACCTCGTCAATTTGTTTCTACTAATTAGCCACGAAATCATTGGAACGCGATAATTGCCCCTAATTATCGAAAACATACGGAGAAAATAATGAGTCGTGATTTTCGAGAAATTCATCGGTGTATCCGACGGGCGTTATTTTCTTCGTGGGTCTTGCGCGTTTTTTTCTTCTTTTTTGGCTTCATCCATATTATTATAACGAACGAGCGTAAAGCGACAAGATACGTTACTAATTACGATCCGTATACTGGAGGTCAAAGCTGACTAATTTGAACGACGATAAAAATCAAAATTACGATCGTATAAATTACGAGGGTTATCGCCGCGACGCTTTTCATAGTTCTAGAACCGCGTGGTACTCGTGTACGTCTTTGGTTTTCATAGGCTGCGGCACTGCGGTCGACGCCATTGTTACGTTACCCGATTGCAACTTAATTCCGTAATTTTCATTACGCAAAACTAGATCGAACGTCGACCTTAAGGATATCTCCATGGAACACTGGAACACTTTCACTGGACCCGACGCCATTCTCGAGGATAACGAAAGTAACGGTCCCACTTTTTGAATCTCCCGCCGACCTCGATTCCAATACGAGACTCCAGCCTGTACCCGCTTTGTTCGTATACTGGACGAGAACGATCAGAAGATCTTGAGAACAGTGAAACATTTGTAATTTTGAACATCGTCGTATTTACATTAATGTTTGAAAAATCCAAAAAAGGCCAATTTTTTACTTGCCTCAACTTCCTTGAATTTTAAATATATCAGTGATCGTTACCTCCATCCTTTTTCCCGATACCTAACAACGAGGTAGCTTCCAAGAAAGCAATTAGGTGGAAAAACAAAAAATCCCTGGTATCTAGTATTTTTTTTTTCACAGAACTCTTAAATATCCTCGCACCAACCGAAAGTCGGATAAAAAAATTATTGTGGTAGTCACGCGGTCGGGCAGTTGGACAGTTCGTGAAAAATTGGGTGTCAAATTGACCGCGCGATCATCGCTGTTTGAACTCGAATTGATTTTTATCGAGACAACCATTGGCACCGTTCCTTGATATACGACATGGCGCATTCATGATTTGGACTTCGTTATACGAACCATATCTCAGTATCCGTGTTGATTCATCATCGTGGTTGCAGGTCGCCTAAACGTCACACGCTGTGGTGGCGCAGGCTCGTAAACCTTTTGCTTGAGTTAGAAGAGAAGCGATCGAAACTTCGGTACAGGCCTGCCATATTTTACATAGGCGCGTCCCCTTAACGTAACAGACAGCCATATAATAGAGGATGTGGGTCTTTTTATGAGACCCATCAACTATATCTTCTTTAGAGGCTCCTCGGGGCCCCGTGGGCAATTAGTGGTTCACGGCTTTTCATGACTTGACACTGAAAACAGGACCCCGTAAGTAGTACCAGGCCGAAAGTAGCCGTATAACGCGTATCGACAATCACGGACGAACACGATATATTTTAAATAGCCCGTATGAATATTCAAGAGCCAATCACGTGACCGCCTACGTTGCCAACATGGCGGACGAGTACGCCGTGCGCATGCGCGTCGCCTGAGGAATGCATATCGCTTAGAATCTGTCCGTCATAACTTTTCGGCAACGTTCCTCGTAATGCTGTCTTCACACGAGTGGCGCGACCCTGAATATTTCGGATATTCACCGCAAAACGCATCGATGCACTTGTATCACGTGTTCACCGATGCTATCAGTTCGTTACGTTTACGATACATTCCATGCTACTGCGCGCGCGTGGATTTACATTCTCGTATGATTGTATGTACCGTACCGCGAACCTCTCCTGTTCGCGTTAATGAGAACAGCGGGCAATCAATCGGATTGTTGATGCTGATTATTACGACTACGCGTTACTATCGCATACTTCCAGCTAACTATTCAGAAGCGCCACCACGAACGCCACGGTGGCTTGTGGTACTTATTCGACAGAATTCCAAACAACTTTTCAATGCACGTTTACCTGGGCTACGGACAATGCAAACGATCGATTCGCAAATTCATACTGGACTTTTATTAGTGTTTTGAAAGCCCACTAAACTTTGCCCCGACTCGCTCGCAAAAGTGTCGAGGAGAAAATTTTATCAAGCCGCCTCCTACGTACGGTCCCCATTGCGACGAGTATATATTTTTCGCGGCACACGCTGCCACAAGGCAATTGAAAACTTTTTTACGACGCACAGTGCGATTTCCGATGCGTCCTGAGCGTTGTGCATCAATCTTCGTCGAGGGAACGAAGACAAGAGAGACTGTTGGCTGGGAAGAAGTTGGAGAGGCTGGACGAGGGAGAAAATATAAAAATAAAATAAGTCGATGACGGCGTAAAATGTTTAGTCGTCCCTGAATTTATATCGAGCACAACCCTTTATAGAGAAACGCTGACTGGACCTCGTATAGTATCGGTTTGACTAAATGAATTCGACGCTGGAACTTTTGTTACTCTCACTTCATTTCGTTTCTTATCGGTCGCATTCTTTACCCTTTCCCATCGTCGACGTCGGATTCTCGGACTAAATGATCGATAATAAATCGTCTAATAACGGCGCCACTGCTGAATAATACATAACCATATCTGGGTCGAACTACAGTCCAGATAGGCGATCGTATGGGGAAAAAAAACGTCGGAACTGCCATCCCCGTCCAGTATCGGGAACGTGATTAAAGTCATTGAGAATCGATCGATTTTTGGCAGTCCGATATTCCGATACTATAGCAATTAGCATTTTCATTTGTATTCCGATAACCGATCCAATTGGCCATACATATAGTTCGCTGATTGCGAAGCTTCTTGTCACTGTCAAAAACAAACGTCTTTGAAATACATTAAATCGATGAGATCAATAAAATAATCAATATGAACATTCGAAACGTGTACATCTGATAATTCAAAGTATCGTTCATGTCCTACATTAGGAGAGTAACTGGCATCGTGTAGAAGTCACTAAATGAATTTTAATTGTCAGCAATCAAATTATCGATTATCAATCAGGCACGTAAAATTCTATAAAAAGGTACGTTTAATTAATTCTTTTTAACACTCACCACGAGCTGCCAGCCCCAATGACGGTTGAGTATGAATCAAATCATCCTTCCTTCACTTCTCCTCTTCGTTCCTGACGAATGACTTCAATCCAATGAATGGATGATGCGTAGACGTTGCATGCCCACGCACTTGGAAGCTTGCATTAAAGCAATTCTAGCAGTCCGGTTGCGATCTTGTGGTGGAACGAGCCTGAAAGTCATACACGTTTTATACATGATTCTTCATATTCAATGTAAATAAAGACTAGAGCCACGTACAACACATGGCGCCAGGCATAAAGTACAGAGCGCATGGTAGCTCATTTTCAATGGTCTCCCTGGCATGAAGTTAATTTATACGAACCATGAATGACGCGTAAATCTCCCTAGTCTTGTTTCTTCCTCCATTGTGTCTTGTGGCACAGTAAGTTAAAAAGTATCTAGGCCAATTCAGCGTGACAACTCAAAGACGATTATCGGTAGGTACACAGAAAGATAATAGGCGTACCAGGAAAAAAAACTAACCTACAAATAGATCAGTCATCAATACCATTCTCAAGCTCATTAACAAAGGTTTCCAAATCTTAAGATCTTTACATAAAAGATTAACGTTGCTGGTTTTCAGATAAAATTCAAAGTCTACCTTACCTGTGATGCAGGAACGACCGAGTGGACTAACTACGAGATTCAAGCCAGCCTCGAGTATCTCCTCATTAAGACGTTGATTAAGGCACCGCCAGAGCTCTTAAGATTCCACTTACAAATTTTAACGCACATTCACCTCGACGAACGAGCCGTTTTCACTCCGATCTCTATTAGTTCATCGGTCCCGAGTAAAATGTACAATTAAGGAATTCAAGTAAAATATGTGTACGTCCTCGCTGGCAGCCAGCGTCCCGTATCGTTGCCGAGAATTCACCTCGTTGCCGTTACTGTTTATATTTCGATTGCGTTTCTACGATTACAAAACGTAACAGGAATATCGTATAACACAACACTTATACCACAAGGTATTCCAGCCGAGATAAGCATATTTATGCACGTCTCAACATACACGACAAACTGTCTGATTACGTTGGTAAACTATTTTCGTAAGAGAACATTGTGCTGCCCTGTCAAAACTAAGTCTGCAAGGTGGCGACACTGTCGCGCTCGCGTACCGACATAGCCGACGGTCTTTATCCATTAACCAAACAGAAATAGAGAAGCTCCGCGTGTTATCCGTAGAGTATACAGCCAGGCCCGCGTTACACAGAAGTAAAACTCGATGCTGAATAATAACCAACGTCAGTGGCCATTAGCGTGGCAACGTAAGAGCCTTCGGTTGTAACAATGGCTGCCTACTGGCTGGCATACTGACCTTCGACGTCTCGCGACGGAAATCGGCATCCTTTATCAATCGAGCGTCTCGAAGTGCTCGCTCATAAACAACATTGCAGTGTACCAAAGTGAAGTGGTGGACATAGAAGGGAATATAAAATAAAGAATGTGAAAAAGTAAAAAGATGCTTGCATACTTATACAGTAAACTGTTGGCCATATAGTCACCGCAGCCGGGTGACTGGCTGACTCCGCTTAGCTGGGCTGTCGGTGAGTACTGGTCCCGCGACACAAAGGCCCGCGACAGTCCCATAAGTTATAGCTAGGGCCCCGTGAGCACTCGTCCCATTCCTCCTTTAAGAGAAGGAGGAATCGTTCCACTCCACTCCCAGACAATAGGACCGGCCCGAAACCGTTCCAGGAATAATCATTAATCCGATCGAATGATTTAACGTCGGATAAAATAATTCCTAAACGCAACGAAATTGTTTCGAAAAACCAGACGAGCGTCTCTTCACTCTGCCGCTTTGTTCAATCCGCTCCGAGACGAGTTTCTGGCTTGGGGTAGTGATGGATAGGGGCAATTAAGCGACCGAGCCGCCCCTGACAGTCAAGACTCGCTACTCTCTTTTCCTTCTTGCTACCTACCACTGCCACCTACTCTTGCCTTTCTCTCTTTCACTTTTATACTTGGCTATATATATATTCCGTCTCACTCAGCTCTCCACTGTCTTATATCTTATAGCTTGGTATACGTTACTTCTTGATTCTCTTCTACCTGCCGCTCGTTGAAAACCACAGACTCTTAGGCACCGTCGAAAACGGTGTCTTTCGCGACAGAGACTCGTAGCCATTGTCTCTCTCTCTCTCTCTCTTTTTATATTCTTTTTATCCCCCCCCCCTCTCTCTCTCTGTTTTTATTCTCCCTCGCAACTAACCTCTATACCCTTACGAAAGTCTCTCTCTATATCCACCAGCAGTGACAATCGCACGACTTCACGATTTACTTCTTTCTATCCCGACTGGCCTTTACATCTCACGTTCTTCACCGACGCTCTTGCCTTCCCTTCCCGTGGGAATTACGAGGAGACGCATGAAATACAGACTGTCGCTTTACGCGACTATGCGTTTCGGCGGGAATCGAGCCAATTTCAAACACAACGAATTCTTCGATCTGCCTTTTCACTTTAATTCTATAGTCCCCGTGGCTTCTGTCACGGAACAGGGAATTGTATACCGGAAAGGCTAATGTTACGAGTGTACCAGAAGAATGCCAACCTTATAAATAAATACGAACTGCGGTAAATGCTCAAATCAATACCAACCCAACGCTTAAGTCAAACAAGCTTAAAATAAACGTTTTCTACGACTTTATCGAACGTCCCGCGATACCATTGTCGAATAAATGTAGGGTGGTACAAAGAGAGCGAGAGAGTGAACGAGAGAAAAATTCAAAAAGAGAGAAACAAAATGTCGCATAATAAAAAGAAATTATGTCGTCTCTATCTGTATACGAGAATTTCTTTTCAATGCCAATAATAATGATGATCGTAAGGAAAGAGCTTTGTCACAAAAAAAAATAATAACGACACCCACACGTTTCGTGGCGGTTCTGCCCAAGAATGGTTCGTGCCTTTTTTTCACAGGCTCACCCTATATAATAATTTCTTTTCACGTGACACCTGCATATACATATATAACAGTTAATTGTCATCCCCAGTGAAAATACGCGTAACGAACGAATTGAACGTATACAAGATAAATTCGCCGAACGTCACGTTTTTGCGTCACGTTTCCCCCTGAAATATTTCTAGTAAAGTTGGCGGACCTCCAGTGATAAAATGGCGCAATATCTTTCTGTCAACGTTCTTATCGTGCCAGTCGACTTGTGCAACTTTCAACTTCCGCT